CATGATATAGACAAGGAGATAGATGGGGAATGAAATGGAACATATTAGAAAGGAAATAATATAGGAATATTGGGGTGTCTTTGAGACAGCAAAACCTTCCTCGGGGAGCTGGGGTCCTGGAAAACTTGACAGCATCAAAACCACCCAAGGCAATGGCTTTCGGGTTCTTGACTCTTAAATTTGAAGAATTAAGATTTACAGAGCGCAGAGGGTGAGTTTTAGAAAAGTTTATTATATGTTAATAGGTAGGAGCTTAAAAGGAAGGAAGGAAGCGAAGAGGACAGCAGAGTTCCAGTATAAAAGAGAGGGGGTCTCAGCAAATAGGGTACTATCAAGCTGCTAGTCTGGGGTTTTTTAAAGGACTTACGGCAGCAGCTGGGGTGAGGTATGGTCCACCCAGTTGGCCTAAAGGTGTCCAGGTGTCTCCTCTCAGTATCAGTCACTGGTCATAGTAGCCTTACTTAAGAGTTAAGAAAGAAATGGACAACAGAACTCTTTCCTGGCATTGCAGCCACCAGCAAGGACTTTTTTGGAAACCTGCTTTGGGTCCCTTCCTGACCTGGCCAGTATTTAAGTCCTGTTCTCATCAGAAGCAGAATAGAATCCCACTGGATTTGGAAGAAAAGAAAAGAGAAAAGATATATGTCATGGCATGAATTCCTTCAGTGCTGGGATCAAACCCAGAGCTTTTCTACTACTGAGCTACTCCCTCAGCTCTTTATGGCAAACTTCTGGTACGCCAATATTGATGTGTCCAAAACCAGTGATAAGTAGCCAACTTTAGGAGCGAGAGAGCTGGCTCAGAGCTGGCTCAGAGATATACAAGAATACATACAGTTCTTGAAGAGTTTGATTCCCAGCATCCACATCAGGCAGCTCACAACTGCCTGCAACTCCAGCATCAGGGCATCCAACACTTTTGGACTCCACAGGCACCTGCACTCCAGTGCAAGCATTAGTTGTACCCCTCCCCCGACAAACACATAGTTAAAAATATTTTTTTTGAATAAATCTTTTCAAAAAGGAAAGAAACTGTTTTCATGAGTACATTTGATATACTTCTCTCAAATGATTGGAAATTTTAGATAATGGTCTGGATGGAGCCTAACTGTCTGTGGGGGCCCACAGAGGCTCCCTCGTAAGGCCTTACTCAAGGTAGAAAATCTGAACTTGCTTTACCCAGCAGGGCTGTATAATAGGATGATTTGGCCAAGGGTATGGTTACCAGGTGTTTTGAAGGGTCTACACTTTGATGTACAGTGTGCTTTGATCTTGAAAGGGGGAGGTCTTTTGCCTCTCCCTTTGGTAGTGTATAAAAAGCCAATTAGAATAAATCTTGAGGCAACTGGGTATTGACCTAGGGTCCTCCCGAAGTTATCCCGTGTCTCTGTCTTTCTCTCTAATACTTCCTCATTCCTCTCTCCTCCCACCAAGAACCCTTTGACAGGTCAGAGCTGGACTCCCACAACTGCCTGCCACTGAAAGTCCTCTGTACACAACAATAACAATAATAATAGATATGTCATGCCTGTAAGCCCAGTAAGTTCAAAGCCAGTCTGGCTACATAGCAAGATAAGGGAGGAGGATATAAGGAGGTTTTCCAAAGCAAGAACTCATGTGTTAATTTACTTGAACTTTCAAGACTGTGAGCTTCAAGCTTAGGTGCACAGAGCATGGTGCACAGAGAAGATATGGTAATTAAATCAAATTTCATAACGTTCTTTTTCAATGTTAATTGCATATTGGGAAAACAACAACTGTGTCTTTCTTTTTTAAATTATTAATGAAGGTAGAAATAGGTAGCCTTCTTTTTTTTTTTTTTTTTTTTTTTTGGTTTTTCGAGACAGGGTTTCTCTGTGTAGCTTTGCGCCTTTCCTGGAACTCGCTTTGGAGACCAGGCTGGCCTCGAACTCACAGAGATCCGCCTGCCTCTGCCTCCCAAGTGCTGGGATTAAAGGCGTGTGCCACCACCGCCCGGCAGGTAGCCTTCTTATTTTGAGTAGCCATGCACCTAGAAATTCTAACCAAGTATGTGGGAAAATAATATGATATGGTGTTTACCGTATTGTTATTTTTAGCAAAACAAGAGTGGAAAGCAGCTTAAAGACTTACTAACACTGAGCTCACATTACGGCATAGTCTGGAATTGAGTAATTCTTCAGGTATTAGAGGCTAGAATGTGAGCTGATATAACTTGCTAAGTGAAAGGAGATTATTAAACCATCTACTGCATAATCACATTTTTTTTGAATAGCTCCATGGAAAACAAACTGAATAGATACAGATGAAATATAAACAGAGGCTATCTCAGAATAGTACATGGGTTAATCACTGTGATGAAATTCTGATATAGAAATCTTTAAAAAAGAGGTTTGTTTGTTTTGTTTTGAGATGAGATCTCACTATGTACTCTGGGTTACTGGCCTGGGGCTCATCGTTGTCCTGCCTCAACCTCCAGGTGCTTAGATTACAGATGCACACTGCAGTGCTGGGCTCAGGGAGGAAAGACCTACTTTCCCTGACAGTTTCAGTGGTCAGCTGATGGTTTGCAGAGCCCATGGCTGTGAGCATGAAGCAAAGCTGGACATATCCAGGAACATGTTAAAAAAAAATGCAATTTATTTTATGGCAGACAGGAAGCAGGGAGAGAAATTGGGGGAAGGGCAGGGAAGAAGATATATCTTCTCAGGGCATGCCTCCTGTGACTCAATTCCTCTGACAGGGCCTATTTTGTACCACCCCCTAATAATGCCCTTCTACTTTGTATCCACCTAGGAATTAAGACAGAGCTGAGGGTGGAACCCTCAAGATCCATTCACTTACCCGGAGCCCCACTTCTGAGCTTGTGACTCTAGGAACTTAGTCTCAACACACATGAGATATTTTGGAGAAAACCTCACATAAAAAGCATGACAGCTGGGATTGTGCTTTGTTTTCCTTTTGGGTTATAGTTCCTAAATTTTCTATATTTGCAGCACCATAATGCTTACAATAATTATGAAAATTACATTTTTCTTTATAAAAAAATACCTATCCATTTCTGGTCAGCTCCATGAGGCAAGGGACTATGAACAAATATTGTGTTTCTTTCTGTTGCTTTGTTTTTTCCCCCTCTAGGACTATTAACTATAGTGCTTGGCAAGCAAAGAGCTCAATTAATTTTTTTAAAAATGAAATCACAATACTTCAAGAAAAAAGCTATAGGAAAAATTAGAATGGTCATTATCACTATTTCCTCTGTGCATATCCTTAACAAATTATCAAACTCCCAAGTCATAGTCTAGCACAGATTATAGTATTCCCTCGTTCTCAGCACACCAGTCTACTTATCTCCTCTTGAACAAAAGGCTTGATCTACATACAGGAGCAGTCTTCAAGGGTTATATAGTATTTTGTGAGAATTATTATTAATAAAGGAACAAATTAATTTATTTACAATGCAAAACACAGGGTGATGATGGGCTAGCAGCATCCAGATTTGAAATTTGTAGGTAAGTGGCAAGTGGCAAAAAGTTGATAAGGATTGTGGGATACAGTTATTGCCAAATATAAACATTTAACAACATAAAAAAATGAAGGCAACAGATATTCATTGCCTTTTTCTTCAGATTAAGGGAGAGACTTTCTTAGCTGGAATGATCTATTGGGCCTATTCCCCAGAAATTACCAGAAAGAAGACCTCACTGTGACACTTTAACATGCCCTTCTTTTAGATTTTATACACAAAACTCTTCAACAATAGTCTTCATGAATTATGTGATGTCAAACAGTTTTATTTAAGTTACAAATCATTCAAAGAATGATTCAATAGTATAATATAAAATTTGACGGTTGGTATAGAAATACATTATAGTGTATCCCACAATTCCGATTGCTTTACTGGAGGCCAGGCTGGTCCTAGGGACCCCAGGTAAGACACCCTCAATGCCTGCAAACACTCTTTAAAGCCTGCCCAACAGCCCCAGACTGCACCCTCTCTGCTGGGCTCCATATTCCAGCCCACAATTTCAGCAGAAGACCTGCTTTATCTGAGGCCAGACCTGTTCTAGAGACCTGAGGTCAGACTCCACACACCACCTGCTAACACTCCTTAAAACCTGCCAACATCCCCCAGAGCATCCCCTCCCCTAGGCTCCATATTCCAGCCTACAACTTCAGAAGAAGACTTCTGCTTTACTGGAGGCCACGGCGTACTCGGAATCCCAGAGACCAAGCAAGTACTCACTATCCCAGAGACCACACAGGTACTTGAACCACAGAGGCAAAGTTGGCACCCCAAATCCCAGAGGTCCTGAAGGTTGCAAATACCCTAGCAGAGACACCCTACCGGACCTGAAGACTCACTAGTCACCAGAATCCCAGGCTACTTAGGTCAGAAGACCAGAGAGAAAACAGAAACTAAGGAATCAAACTAACCCATCAAACAAAGACAAACGCAAGAATCTACACCTAGACTATAACCATCCCAAACCCAGATGCCTAAATGTCAGTGTGAGAACACAATCAACAACAGAAAGGGCAATATGGCACCACCAGAGTCCAGCTATCCTACTACAGCAAGAAATGAACATTCCAACGTACCCGAAGCACATGAAAACAATCTTAAAACCAATTTTATGAAGATGATAGAGGTTCTCTGGAAGAGCAACCAGTGGTCTTAACTGCTAAGCCATCCTTCTTGCTCCTCAGTTTTAATCACAACAATGTGCTTATGATTTATTTTTTGTCATTTATTTCTGCCAGAATGAGCTTCTCTGAAATTATTTTCATCAAGAATTCTCATGCCATGTTTTACCATCTGAATTTGGATAATTTTCTTCAAGTATTAGTGAAGTGTTGTCTTCTACTTCTGAGAAGGGTCTTACTATTGTCTAGGCAGACCTCAGGCTTGGCTTAAGCATTGCTCCTGGCTCAACTTCCTGAGTAGCTGAGACTGCAAGAACATGTTGCCTATGTTTAGGCTACATTTCCAGTATTGTCTAGTAAAGATTACATACAAGTTTAGGGAACACAAATGACTTTATTAAAACATCTCAACAAATTTCTATAATAGTTAAAATGAGAGCAACAATGTTACATCAAGAAAGTAGTAAGTTTTATGGAAAGCTAAATACTCAAGAACAGTGGCTATGACAAAAAATGAAGACTCCTATCTCGCCAATGGGAAAAGTTCAGGTCATCCCTTATTGGAGCAGCTTGGAAAGAAAGTAGAAGGACAATTCCAATATTCTTAGGGGACATACATCAAATGTGGGGTGATGGTGATGATTACAAGGGCATCAAGAGTTATTAGTCTATAAATTTCTATTTAACATCCATACCCTTCCTTAAGTAGGTAGGTCTATACTTTCATAAATCATCTGTCCACCTATGCAGAACAGGCCTTTGGGAGAGAACAATATAACCATTTTTTCTTAGACATCTGAACTAGCTTGTTTCATAACATAAATATGCCATTCTATTATGTTAGTTTTTATCTTCAATGACATATGAAAGATCTAAAATCAAATTGGCTGTCTCTACAGCCACCTGTAGGCCACTAAGCTTGGCAGTGAAACAGTCCACAGTCAGGTTACTGGCTGAGCCCACAGCTGTCTGGGAAAGGCAGGTTTGTGGTGCAAAAGGATGATGAGTGCTTTTCAAGAAAGACCAGCTGAGTCCTTCCTGGCTGTTGTATAAGCCACAGCCACATCGTGACAGCATATCTGGCCAGTGAACAACAGAAGCAGAATCCGATTGACCTGACCAAAAGTGGCCATACTTCATGTCAATGAGGATTTCACCACCATCGTGTTCCAAAGAGCCAGCAACGGACTCCAGAGCCCTGCAAAATGCTTCAGCAGCAATCTGGAGTTCTGCTCGAGAATATCCAACCTCTTTGACAATATCTTCTGCCTCATTATGAACCTAGAGAGGAATAAGACAAGTGAAAACATACAGATCAACTAATATAAAAATGCTTCAGAAAAACATTATCTGAATTTTAAAAAGTTAATTACCAAAGGTTCTTGGGTATTATGATTTGGTCATTGTCTCACAAAACAAAAACTGCTGAAAATTTAAGTAATGTGAGCAGGATGTCTAACTTACCTTGTGTCTGATATAAGCAGCCAAATGTGTTTCTGTACAGCCACCTCCCAATAAAACCCATGGTTCCTTGATTGTTAGCTGCAAGGCATGCATTGCTGTTTGACATGTGAGCTAAGGAAGAAACAAATTAGAATCAGGATCTCACTGTGGTATGTGAACTGTCCCATGCTCTCATAGTAACTTAGACTGTGAACTCAGAGCCCTATTTTTAACTTTCTCTCTGTGTGGCAGGGGAAGGTGCATGCCAGGACACACGAGTAGAGGACAGAGGGCAACTTGTGGGAGTCTGATTTTTCTTTCTACTGTGTGGGTTCTAGGAATTGAACCCAAGTCATCCAGCTTGGTGGTAGGTGCCCCGATTTTTCTTTAATCTAAAAAGGCTGTTTCTGTGTGTGTGTGTGTGTGTGTGTGTGTGTGTGTGTGTGTATGTGTGTGTAGGGAGTCTGTGTGCACATGTGCTATGATACAGGTGTAGAGGTTAGAGGACAACTTGTGGGAGTCAGCTTTCTTCTTCCACCACATGACTCCTGGGAATTGCACTTGGGTCATCAGGCCTGGTATTCAGTACCTTTAGGCACTCAGATATCTCCATAGCACAAAAGGTTCAGATTTTAATTCAGAAAGAACAAAACTCTGTTTTATCAAAGTAGTAATGTGACTGACTAATAGCATTTCCAATAAAGATTAGAGAATGAAGAGGGACATGTAAGCCATAAGTCTGTTTTCATAAAATTAAATTAATATTTTCTTTCATGTCTACTTTGCTCACAAACATATGGCCTAAAAACATCTTCGATAACGAGGCTTGCTGGTCCTTCCATTAAAATCAAAGTCTAAACAAGTAAGATGTACAAATACCATAAAGTCTGTTTGGAAATGATAGCACCAAGCAATAGTAAGTAAAAAACATGCAAATCTCCGATTTACTAAGGATGAATCTTTAAGCATATATTAATTTTTAAACTCACAATTCTATATATTGTCAGTTTGCTTATATAAAACTTGAGAAAACAATAACTCTAAGAAGTGGGTGATTGGGGAATTCACTTTGAGTAAATTATTCATACACATTAGAACAGTACAGTCCAGGCATGTTCAACCTGTGGTGTCTGGGTCATACGCGCTGCCCAAAAGGTCATATGCCACCCAGAATAGCTACGAATGCAGCAGCACGTTTGTAGATGGCAATGTGGTATCATGTCAAGAGGTAGGCAATTCAAGTCATTTCTTAGAAAAACTGCCCATCAAGAACCTTTAGGTTTCTTGTAAAAATCATGATAAGTGGTACAATACCCTCCAAGTTTACTGTAACAGCCAATTAAATTAGCTTCCTTGAGCCTTTGCCTCTCCTCTTTCCTCCTTCGGTGCTGGGATTGAACCTTGTATGTACCAAGCACACGCTCCACTCTTGAGCTGTATCTCTAGCCCCCATTTCTGTCCCTTTTTGTTTTTACTTATTATATCACTATGGAAAGTCTCGGAAAATGTGAAAAACTAAAAACACCACAGCCCTCAACCTGCAGCACCTGCCATGAGTTGCTTCATCCCTGCTGTAGGCCCTGGAAGTCCACCTACCTTCAGCTCCTCCCAGGCAGTGTCATTTCGGCCGCAGAGGAGCAAGCTGCAGACAGTTGCCTCATTAGGAATAAGATGGAAAAAATGTTTGGAGCCAAGTCTTGCCGAGCACACGTCTTTTATACTTCCGTAAGCAGAAGAAGCTATTGTGTTTAGGGAACCAATAGGCGTCGCTCCTATTTTTGTAAAGTATGGAAAATATAAACCATATAAGCAAAGATGGAACTCTTAAAATGAATAAATATCAATAAAATTCATAGCTAGTATAAAATCCCCCACCAAAGCTTATCATTTAAAATATGAAATAAAGAATAAAGAAATAAAATGCATCTTCTTAGATCTCTGAAATTCACATTCTGCTATTTAAATGATATATTCCTGCTGGCCTAGAATTAACCATGTAGACCAAGCTGGTCTTGAACTTGCGGTAATCCTCCCACTTCAGCTTCTTGAATGCTGGGATAACAAATGAACACATGGCTATCTTTGCTTGTTTAGGCTGTTGGTTTATGAACTTTTGTCATTGCTGCCTTTCTATTGTTGTGATAAAATGCTCATCAAAAGGAGAAAGGATCATTCTGGATCGCAGTTCCAGGTCACAGTTCACTACAGTAGAGAAGTCACAGCAGCATGAGCTCAAGCACCTATTCTTACCACACCCACAATCAGGAAACAGAGGGATGTGTGTGTATACACCCTAGTACTTAGCTTGTCTTCTCAACTTTATACCGCCTAGGAATTCCTGCCCAGGGAATAATGCCACTCACAGTGGTCAGGTCTTTCTGGTTCAATAAATGTAACCAGGCAGACTGGTATTATTTATTCATTTAATTGTGTGTGTATTGCTGGGAATTAAACCCAGAGTCATGCCCAACATGTGCTCTACCACTAAGCTACATTCCCAATCTTACAGACCTATCTGAAAATCTGTTAAAACCTATTTTATACTCTCAGAAAAAGGCACACAAAAAATTGCATGTATTTTTAGGAAGTCTAGAATTCCTGAAAGCCTACTTAGAGATCAAAAACGCCACATTAAGAACCTCATTAATTTTGAAAAAGGGTGAGAAATGTCCTTTTTTAAAAAATTCATTTGTTTCTTTAGGAGAGCTACATAGGGGATACACACACACACACACACACACACACACACACACACACACACACACACTTTGCCTAGGATCTTTTTAAAAAAAAAATATAACTGGGCATGCAAGTGCCAAAATAAAGAATATAACATACTTATTTCACTACTATCATGGGGAAAAATACAAAAAATCACAAGTTAAAATTTGCAGAATCTCTAAATGTAGTTGTAATATAGGAATCTATACCAACTTCTGTAAGAAGTAACATTTAACATTTGAGTATCAAAACTATAACTTGTAGCAACTCACTTTTTTGGAGGCCAGATTTTTTTAAGATACTTTCATGTACTCCAGGCTGTCCTTGAACTTGCTATGTAGGTGAGGATTGAGGACCTTGATCCTCCTACCTCTTCCACCCAAGTGCTGCAATTAGGGATGTGCCACCACGTCCAGAGATCAGAAAACTAACGGAGTCAAAATTTTCGTAATTGTGTTCTAGGTATCTGGGCTAAGTAACAAACCTGGACTAGTGCAGAAAATCAGTGCCCATTTATAACACTGGTGTTATGGGAAAACGTTCCACACTTTAACTTACCAAATCCAGAATACCCAGTGAACATAAGCTGGAAACAGCCAGACCAATGCAAATTAGTAGATAATTTAGATCTGTCCTACAGTACAAAAAATGAATTCCAAATAATTATTTCCATGTTCCTAGTAAATTTCATTTTGATGTTCATTTGGCTGACAGTATCCAACATCTGGCATACATGCTGTTTTTAAATAGTGAACTTTAATAACAGTTCAATGAGTTGTAAATCACAAGGCGGGGAGTATGTTGTTCTAGCTATCTGGGAGGCTAAGGAGGCTCCCTTAGGGCCAGCACTTTGAGACCAGCCCAACAACATAGCTGGAGCTTGTTAAACAAAAAGCAACAATTGCAATCAATATGGATGTAACTGATAATTTCTGAAAGTTTGTCAGTGCAGTTACAGGGACACTGATTTGAGAGGTGGCTCACATAAGGGACTCTTCAAGTTACTTTTGTCCTAACCATGTATATCTGTTTAGACTGTAGTTTGTGATTGTTACTCTATACAGCAATTCATCAGATGGTTGTAAAGGTGTGATGGCCAGGCCTGTTAGAAGTCTTGACTGTAAAAGGTGCCCTTGGTTCTCAAGAACCCAGCCACAAGTATTCTTGGTAAATGTCAAACATATATACATATACCTGCCTCCCAAATTAGGAATAACTATTTGGGCAGAAGTACAGACATTTCTTGGAGTTATGATAAACGTGAAGCTGAATATAATAGGATTTAAAAGCTTTGTAAATTTTAAAATTGTGTGTATAATATTAAAGACCTTATAATTATGTTAGACTTCTCAACTGCCTTTAAAATACTAAGGGCTAGATCATAACAAACTATACTTGGAGTTGAACTACCACCATTTTGTTTCTAGTAACTGGGCAAAGGGATCTTTCCCACAAATAATGTTTGCTGCCAGAATGAGTCAAATGCTGTAAGGTTGGTGGCTTCTAAAAAATTTTAAGGTATTAATAGTGACACAAACCAAACTTCTCTGCTCAAAAAGGGAGGGTGACATATTAGCTTTAATGTGCAAAAGCCAAGAGAACTTTTTACCTGTCACTTTGCTCAGGGGTTCCATTATAGCCACTCCAACTCTGTCGATGGCAATAATGTGATGCTTGCTGAGGAACTGTTTCAAAGATGGGTGTATAACTTTTTGGCACAGGACAAGATCTACATGGTCACTGACTAGCTGCCTTCCCAGATTAAGCAACTGCTCTAAAACTGCATTCTCAAGGGACACTTGGTAAGGGACCACCAGAGTTCCTTCTCCAGCATTAGAAAAATCTCCGGATAAAGACACACAGAAGAGTGCCACCTTGAGGGCACTTGACTTCTGGGTGGGTAATAATCTCCTTAATTGAACTTCTGACATTTCAACAAGCAGTCCAGGTAATACAGTAGAATCTGTAACTCCTTGGCCCTTTACGGGAACAACTATACTTTTCCCTAAAATGATTCGGTCTTCTGCACTTTCTGGAATTGTAAGCAAAAAAGTTTTCAAGATCAAAGCACTGATGTGATCAGTTTCCTTTCTGGTGAGCATACAGGCAGGTTTGCTGGTTAAGATACTGTGTACCAAGCCCAGGAAGATATGTGTACTACTGAAGTCAACTGGGATTCGACAGCTACAGGCTTCAGACTTGAGATAACCAGTGCAGAAACTCAGGAGGAATTTGTTTAACTTAATAGCTGTCGTGGGTGTCAAGCCTATTCTCTGAACATTTTCAATCAGGTTACAGCACAGAATGGCTGTAAATAAGCCACAGTCACTGAAGCAGGTCACATGATTCTGCACAGCTGCTGTTAGGACCTTTAATACTGGATGGGTGACTGAAAGGTTTCGGAGCAGGGCTGAGGACTGTGAGGTTGTACACACACAACCTCCCAAGCCATTGTGCAGCTGCTTCAGCCTCCCTGAAGGGCCGTAGCATGAGGCTAGGATTCCCTTCAAGACAGAAAGTGTGGACCTGACTCTCTCACTTGTCAATGGTTCAGTTTTACACAATGATGGCTTCTTAGCTTCGAAACGAGACATCCTGCTTCAGGTGGAACTTGTACAGGCAGCTTTATTTTGTTTACATGTTTTTCATTTATTGCACCATCACATGTCTTAACATTAAAAACTATTCTTCATGGGTGAAAGCCTGCATATTTAGTATTATCAGCTATAAAATCAAGTGGTTTTCAGACAATAACCAGCATATATTAATTTAATGACATTAATTTCAAGTGTTTATTTTGCTTCATTCTTCAATATTCTTTTGTTTGTCTCTGGACTGAGACCTCACAGACTCTTTTGCAGCTCTCTGTATAAAGTATGTTCCAAGATGGACACCTACGAAAGTCACTCCGGCCACAAGAAGCCAGTTCTTTCTAATCCAACTGGGGTTTCTCATTTCTTCTTTTATTATCAAGTTCAGATTCAAAGTTGCTTCTTTCTATAAGAAATTAAAAAAATTTAGAAGAATAATTCTGAAGTATTTTATAGGCAGCAAGTTTAATAATTTTAATATTCTGCTCCATTTTTAGAAAAAGGATTTTAACTGTCATAAGCATACTGGAAATGAGAAACATCTTGCTTCCTCTGTGTCTGGCTGGCGACTCGTGACTCAGCCCTTCCTCTTCCTAGAATTCTCCTTGTCTGCTTACTCTGCCTATATTTCCTGCCTGGCTACTGACCAATCAGTGTTTTATTTATCAACCAATCAGAGCAACACATATTCACAACATACAGAATGACATCTCATAGCACATTTTGTTTTTATTGATTTTAAATAAAAATTCAGAAATATGATCAGGCTCTGGTTATGAAGTCACAGTAAAGAGTTCATGTTAGTTTTCTCAGTGTGGTTAGTACAAATGTTGGTCCCATTGTAGTACTATAAATGTTTACTCTTACCATTAAAGATACACACAGAAAGGATGTATGTATAGGGGTTTTAAATTCTCTATCAGTTAAAGAAAAGGATGAGGAAAAGGGTACCTAGTTCATTGGTAAAGCACGTCTAACATATGCAAAGCACTGGTTTCAACCCTTAGCACTGCCCCCAAACCAAGATAGACTCACAATTAATACTGGTAAGTGTTTATATGTAGTTGGAGGAGGGTTCAGTTTCTACCTTTTGTTTTATGTTTGAAATTTTCTACAAAATAAAAAGTACCAATAGACTGACACAGAACTTTTTTTCAATGAGCTTTGCTTATTTAGAATTAGTGTTTAGTGTACTCTGAACTTGGCTTTAACTTCTACCAATCCAAAGCCAATTGAAATACTTAATTCTCTTTGCTTATCTGGCAGTGTTGGCTTCAATTTTATTTGGTTTCTCTTATTTCTTTGGAGATAATGTTATATTACCATGTAGTACTGGGTGGTTTTGAACTTGCAATCCTCCTGCCTTAGTCTCCTAAATCCTGGGATTACAGGTGTGGACTACCACACCCGGCCCTCTAAAATCATCTATTGCTCATTGCCATCTAAAATGTCTTACTATGTTCACCTAGTATTTTAGGAAATTCTTTTTTTCAGCTTTAGTTCTTCATTTTTGAGCATGGAAGTTTGTTCTCTTCAAGTCTGACTATACATGGCCTCTCAACTCATGAGACAAAAACTAAAGTTCTACACACACACCCTATAATGGTCTTAAAGAGTCTGAAAGGACTGCTCTATAAACATCAAGCATCTAATACATCTAACTCCTTTTTCCTACCCAGGAAAAGTCTTTCTGCCTAGCAGAGGGTCAAGGGGACTTGCTGCTCTTTTCAGAGGACCCAAGTTCAGTACCCAGTACCCAAGTTGGTGGTTCAAAGTTACCTGGAACTCCAGTTCCAGGGGTTGTCATCTTAGGCCTTTGCGGGCACTCACACACAAATGGTACGCATGCACACATGTGCACACAGACACAAACTTTCACACACACATAAATCCTTTTAAATATATACAGATTTTATAATATAACGACTATCCCTAAGGCTATTATTTTAAGTTGTCAAGTTTCTAATATTTTGTTTTGTTATTTAACTTTTTATAGCAAAAAATTAACTAATATTTTAAATCATACTTTATTTTTCTCCTTATGAACATTTAAAAATAAAATCTTGATCTGAAATAAATTTTTGTTGCTATTGTTGAGGTAGGGTCTCACTATGCATCTAGGCTGCCCTCAACTCCTGATCCCCCTGCCTCATAATCCAGAGTGCTGAGATTATAGGTAGCAATGATCAGTTTTTGTTGTTGTTGTTGTTTTCAAGAAAGGGTTTCTCTGTGTGTAGACCTGGCTGGCCTTGAACTCACAGGGATCCACCTGCCTCTGCCTCCCAAGTGCTGGGACTAAAGGCATGCACTACTACGCCTGGCACAATGATCAGTTTATAGCAAGCTAGGACATCAGTCCTCTTTAAGTGAGTAAAGCTGCCCTGAGGTTCTCCTAAAACCACTGACCTAATGCCAGAATTTATAGCACATTTCTCAACTCAAGGCGAAAAAAGACATATTAGAAAAAAATGTGCTGACATGATGGCTCACATCCATACTTACAGTTGGGAGGCCGAGACAGGAGGAGTCCTCTAAGTTTTAGACCCAGCTTCGGCTTGAGTGACATAATTACAGAGTTGTAATTCTTTTCATGGAACCCTTGGAGCCAGTGAGTTTCATACTTTAGAATTTCTTGGACTGTGTAAATATGTAATAAAAAAGATAGTGCATACCACAATCAACACAGCACTCATAAGGAAAGGCATTTCTGCAGAGAATCTAAAGTATAGGATTACGTGGAAGAAATACTTCCAATTGCCTCATGTCAGATAAAATCAAGTTTTGCTGCTAAACTATATAATCACATCCTCTTGAATTCAGTCATTTCTACTCATAGAAATTATTTTGAAACTGTAAACATAGCTATTTTTTTCTTAAAAATAATGAGTGTTTTGGGTATATCTTAACAAAAACAATAAATTTTTAATTTAGGTTTTTTTTTTTTTTTTTTTGTTTTTTCTTGCCAGAGTGCTATAAAAACTAAGTTCCCATTACTGGAAAATAACAAATGGCTGACCAGATTTAATGAAACTTACCTGAAAAGTGCAAGCCTGCTACTTCTCCTAGGTTTGGCTCTTCGGTTGACTTGCAAGTGCCAGACTATCTGGTTCAGTGGTATCGTCCTTAGGAATTTGGAAGACAGGGCTGCTTTTGATTCCGTGCCACCCCAGATGTATGAACCCAATTAAAGGTACCATAACAATCAGAACTTTGTATTCTCTCCAGAGGTTCTGAAAGTTCATAGTCTGTTGATATCAGTACACCTAAGGAAAAAAAATTACATTTAAAGGAAAAAAAATTAAAATTAAACCAACCCCTAAACATAAATGGTCTCAAATCATGCCTACAAACACAAACAGTATAGTGCACTTCAATAACGTTCACTTACAGGCTAGAGATGGCTCAGTGGTTAAGAGTACTTGCTGCTCTTCTAGCGTGCCTGGGTTTAGTTCCCAGTACCTACAAAGCAGCTCACAACCACCTGTAACTCCAATTCGAGGGGGTCCAACATCCAGGTCTCTGCTGACATTGGGCACACATGCAGTACAGACATCTAATGAAAGCAACCTCTAATATACACAGTAAAAAAAGCTGATTATGAAGCAATTTCTCGAAAGTTAAGACTGAGCTCCTGCTTGGGGGCACTGGCCTAGAATTTCCAGAATGCGATGATAATGAACTCCTCAGAGTGTTGTGAGCCTGTCACAGATTCCAGAGGTTGACAATGGTCTCGTGCTACTTGCCCTAAATCAGAGCACAGGTGTCTGTATCATTCATTCAGTTGGATTAGTTATGTTTACTTTAGCTTGTTCTTCCTACAGAACAGCAAGGCTGAATGAACAGATATACCTCTACCTTGTTACAGAACATGGGTAATTACACCTAGGGGCCACAAAAGTAAAACAGTGAAATACATACTTCAGACCACAAGTATTTTAAAATTTATTTCATTTCTATCTATGATGGCAACTACTCTCTCTTCATTTCTACATAAAGAAGATTTCTTGGTGGCAGAATGACATTAAGGTGGAGGGAGAAAAAAGTCCCAAACACTTGGGTTCTAGATATCAGATTACCCTGTTCCTGTAACAGTGTCAATTAAAATAACTGTTTGGTTATTTTCCCCTAACAATTTGAATACAGGTTTTTATTATTATTATTATTATTATTATTATTATTATTTTTTTAAACAGGAGATTCATAGTTTGCCTCTGAGGTTTCCTGGGCGCCATCTGCTGGTGCTTTAGGCACAGTGTAAGGAGTTCATTCTGCTTTTTAAAATATATGAGAAACAACACTTGCACAAAATGCAACGCAGTCATGAAGAGAACATCAGCTAGGGTGTTAGAATTAATTGATCCAGATCTCATGTTTAGGATGGTTGATATTTACTATAACTTCATGCCTTTAATGAAAATGTTGATGTTGGATATTTCTGAATTCATTATTTCTGAATTCCAATCATTGCCTCTAATAGTTCTTTTAAAAATTTAGTCATTGTAAAAATAGTTCATGTTATTTTCAATTTAAATAGCTGTTCAAGCTTGGCCCTCAGTATAGACACCAGGTACAACTGAAAAAAGGCTAGAAGAAAGGATTCTGAAAGTTTTCATCATAAAAAATTGACTTTTGAAGAGATAGTTATGTTTAACCTGATTTAATCATTATGCAACATATACGTTATCAAAACACATGACGCCTTATATGTACAGTTTTTAAAAAAATGAATGCCTAACCTGCCCAGCATGATAAAGAGAACGTTGGATTGCCTTTTCTGCACATTTTCTAGACATATCTCCTAAAGTGGCACCTATTTTGTTAGACTTTTCTACTTATAAATACAGACACACACACTAAATAAACTTCAACTCCCGATGAACCCATGGTTTAAAACTGACTCCTATTCTACAGTTTCCACCCTGTACCATCTTACTTTACCATTCAAGGATAGCTCAATCAACATCTAAGTCAGGAAATTTATCTGTTGTCAGTAAATGTTAAAAATCAATACATTATGAAAATTTTATGGTCTTTGCTATTCTTCACCATTAGTTCAGTTACACCATTACTGTTAGTTCAGTGTATTTATGATTAAAAGCAAATAATACTGAAACCCTTACAAGACTTGTATGAGGATGTCATTAACTGTGGAGTCCAAAATACAATTGATTAGTGGCTGAGAAGTGACAGCCTAGTGGCAGTCTGTGACTCATCAGAAAAAGATATAGAGGTTTGGAGATGTCTCAGAGGTCTCCCATGGCCTTTTAGTTTTCCTGATTATCATCTGATATTATATCTGAGTTATAATTATCTTGATTATCATCTGCCATTAGTACTGGTGGGGGAGAGGGACTGTAAATCATGCAGATTGTTCTAGATAAATGTCCAGTTGCTTGGCTCTCAGCATGACAGCAGAGATTTTTAACTGCCCCTAATCAGCTCTAAATTTTCAAAGGGCCAATTTCTACCCTTCACCATTTTTGAGATTTTCATTTTATTCTACCTTTGTTTTTGCAAATAACCTAATAGCTAGAGAATGGTAGTTATGGGATATTAATACTCTCAATTTCTTATCTACACTGTAAAAATGTACTCATCCCAGCTCTTAACCTTCCCTACTGTCTAAAATAAGGAAGCAGTTACCCATGGCCCATTCTCATTTGCCAACACCCTGTCAGTTCTAACACCATTGGCCCCTCTTCTATCTTCAACCTACCACTTTTGAAGGTCATCTTCCTCTGCATGCTGTGACCAATTTTCTCCACTGAAAAGAACCAAGGCCTATCATCTCAGGACTAGGAATTACACAATTATTGAGGAGACAGCATTCTTCAAGGTCATCCATCCTTCGGCAAAATAGCTAATAGCCTGGGCTACATGAAACTATCTCAAAACGAATTACAACAAACAAAACATGTATACACAATTAAAAACAAAATAAGATTAAAAATATCTTAGACTAAGCTGGTTAACTCGGAGATCTGGACATAATGTATTCTGCCCTTTCCCTCACTCTTCAAGCCAGCCGCCACATCTTGCCATTACGTGTGCACTCCCCCCCCCCCCCCCCCCCCAAAAAAAAAAAGCATAGTTCAGACACTTATGACCTCTAAATGACTTACTTCTTTTGTGGCCTCATCATCTTTAGCACGAGTCATTCACCTGGGAACTTAGCAGAAATGTAAATTCTCAGGCTGCCCTGACCACTGAAGAGGAAACTCTAGGGCATTGTCCAGAAACACTGACTACAATGAAGTCCTAAAGGACTACAGGAAGCCCTAAAGCTGAAGTTTGAGAGCTACTGTTTGTGTGACCTCCAACAGCCTCTGTACTCTGAACTTACAGAGAGGAAGGGGAAGTCATGTGGGTTTGCCTGGAAGATACAGTGACATTTTTGACAGCAGAGTGAAAGTTTAATCTTATAATAATATTCAAAGGCCATCAAGACTGCTTCTACTGACTAGTTTTCAGAGACTGGGGTAAATCAGGTTAATAAGAATGCATCCTAAGGCAGTGACTTAAGGGACTGAGCTGTGGATTCCTGCTCCCTGGGCTTCAAATGTTACTTGAACCCTCTCTGTAACTGAACTGCCTTAGTTGAGACACTTACTCTCCTGGTCAATGGCAAAAGAGTAATAATGGCTTCCACATCAAAATCTGCTGTGCAATTAACACACCTGAAGCAGCCTGGACTCAGTGACAGATAACTATCAGTTATCATCCAGTTGGTCATCTGGAAAGGGAAGATGTTTTTCCTTTTTGAGACAGGGTCATATGTAACCCCAGGCTGGCCTCCAATTCAGTACGCTAGACAAAAAATAAAAATATCCAGATTCTCAAGAAATGGGTTTTGTGGTTTTGGGGGCTCTTGCTTGGTGTGTGTGTGTGTGTGTGTGTGTGTGTGTGTGTGTGTGTGTCTATAGTCAGAATACAAGATGTTACAAAGATAGCTAACAGTCGGATGTATAAGCCAGGTAAGCTGTGAAGGAAATAAGAAAACTTCTAAGGCACAGAAAAGCAGCAAACACTGAGTAGAGGTCACATACGCTTCTCTGATGACAGTTAATAAAGTTATAGCTACCAAGTGATTAGATTTGAAAGTTCTGATACCTGATCTGCACTTTCAGAAATGTTGGACAAGAAAAAAACCTTTGAGCAAACACGAGAATCAACTTTAACCTCCACCACAAACTAGTTATCATCTTGGGGAAATCGGTTCCTGCCGCAATCTCATAGACTATCACATTATAAAAATGATACATATTTAGAACACTATAGTGTGAGGATGGGTAAGTGCTCAATGCATGGCAGCTGTTACTGGGACAGATGTATGACTTCTAATACATAAAAGCAGACCCCTCCAGAAACTCCTGCTTGAGCAATGTGATTACACTGCTAATCTCTTGGTACAAAATTAGGAAAATACTGTATTGCTCCAAATGTTCCTAGTGTTTACGTCAATTTTCACTTAAGGTATGTGTGGAGTTACTTTTATTCAAATCCCCACTAACTGTTCACACATCCTGGCAATCTTATTAGATTAGGAAAACCACCAAGGTGAATAAGGAATGGTGTTTGTCCTCTGAGCCAACAACAAATTTAGAAGGTGGTGATCTCTATAATCCATGACTGAACACTGTAGAGGAGTCAAAACAAAGAACTAAGTCAAGTCTGCAGCAGCCTTTCTTTTGGGCCACCAATCAGGTCCCAAATCATGAGACTTATTATGAATGCTCTGCCTTAACTTATGCTTGTCCCACTAACTCATAACTTATAAATTAACCTGTTTCTCGTCATCTACATTTTGCTTTGGGGCTTTTTACCTTTCATTCTGTGTGTCCTACTCCAAGTCTGGCTGGCAGCTGTCTAGCTGGCCCCAGGCTTCTCCTTCTCCCTCGTTCTCTCCTTCACATCATCTCACATACAAACTGTGGTTGTTTTTTTTTTTTTTTGGAGTTAATTCTCCAAGCCAGGTGGTCCCTGGAGGAGTACAGGGTTGATATCAACAGACACCAACTATGCTCTGCTCCATGCAGTGCCTGGGTCTAGATGTCCAGACATCCAGACAATGAGGTGATAAGAGATCTAAAAATCTCAGAAACTGGCGGGCCACCTGACCAGAGGGTCAAGACTGAGCTCTAGAATGACAACTGCCTTCGTGCTCATTTTAAGTAGTTTAGGCCCTTTATTTCCCCAGGGAGTCAATGCCCTGCTGTCTCAAGTAGCCAGCAACTCTAAAGTGTACCTTTAAAGATTCAATTTCTGGCTGGGTGGTGGTGGCACACAGCTTTAATACCAGCACTCTGGAGGCAGAGGTGGGAAAATCTCTTAGTTTGAGGCCAGCCTGGTCTACAGAGTTCCAGGACAGCCAGGGCTACACAGAGAAACTCTGTCTCAAAAAACCCAAAGGAAACAAAAAAGATTCAACTTCTGGTACTTGTAATATTATGGGCCTGACATTTCATTCACAATTCTTGAGCTTCAGCTCTTCTTTCGGGTGTCCCTTATTCACAGAGCCTTGCTCTGAGCACTCAATCTAGAACTTGGCTTTCCTCTCTTCATTATTTTCTAGGACTTATTACTAGACTACAAGTTCCAGGCGGGAAGAACGCTGCTGCCAGTCTAGATCATTGATGTATGAAATAGTGTTACACACAAACTACGTGACAACGAGAAAGCAGATGATAGTAATAAAAAACTTTTTTCCTCGGAAACATCAAAAAATGACCCAGGAATATGAACATGACCTCAGGGACACCCCTCATGTCAGATGTCCTTGGATCTCCACTATACAATCAAAAAGCCCGAGTGCTGTTTCTGCTTTCTCAAAGTTGGCACGATCATGCTGCCAGAAGCTCTATGCTCCAGTTTCGCGTTTCGAGGGAAGCCCCCATGACTCGACAGCCCCCGGTGCACCGGCACCCTTCCCTTGAAGGAGTTAGAGGAGTTCCGGGTTACAGGTGGAAAGCGACAGTGCAGGTGATCCCGACAATTTCCCAGGGAAACTTCTCCCTCTAGTTCACCGCGCAGGTGGCTTTGGGAAGCTTTATTCCAGTTCCACCTGGTACTGGACACTCCTGGCCACCCACACTCACACAACCATCAGATAGCCACGTCCTGAAACTACTTTCAAAGCCGGCCTTGGGGACTCTCCGGTGGCCAGATGCCTCCGTATCTCCGCCCCCAAACACCCTTGGCCGAGGCCACCCGCGACCTTCGCGAGTGGGGACGCAGAGGGACCGCAAGCTGGCTCCTCCACTGGCGGCTCGGGCGCTCTCACCTGCCCACCAGCAGCTGCACCTCGCGGCCAGGCCGCCGTCGCCGCCACCGCCACCGGAGCCCAGGAACCGAGCTAGCACAGCGGACACGCTGCGGAGTCCCGCCACCTTGGCCCAGGGAGGCAGGAAGGCGCATGCGCTGCTCGCGCGCCCCGCCCTCTCTCCCGGTATTGGCTGGAAGCTCCGGCTGAGGAGAACGGCGGCCGTCGCCGAGGGGTGTTTGCAAACTACCGAGGTGTCTTTGCAAACTACCGAGACTGAAGACGGTTAAACACCCATCACAACATCCAGAAGGCGACATAACTTGCAACCTTCTGCTCTCTTGATAGGTACTTCTGGAATGAATGAAGAAGCCAGCGTTCTTGGCTGCCTTTCGGCCTCTGACCAATCACAAAGCGCCTCCTTTTGTCACTCAGTGCTCAAGCCCCACCCCTCTCAGGATGCCTAAAACTGTAGAAAGTGGCTCCGCCCCACCGCCCCTCACCGTCCAGAAGGAGGTCGGGGCGCGGGCATGCGCAGTCCGAGCAGGACGCCGGGCAGGAAGCTTCCGCCCAGTCTTGGTGGGGGTTAGGCAGAAGTCGGGAGTCCCCAGCTCCATGCCAGAACTGATTGTTTAATGTCCTTGTTCTTGCCATTTTTTTTTTCTGCTTCTGAGATAAGTCTTTTGCTCTCTCGGACCATCGGGAATACTATGAAGTCATGTTGAAGCACATTTTAAATTAGCTTTTCTCTGGCATTTGTGAAAGCCATCTTTGTTTTTCAACCTATCTTTTTATCTTCTTTATCAAAAATACTTTTCACACCTGCCCTAGTAGTTTCGTGGTACCATGGAAACACTACGGGCTTTTTTTTTTTCCCCTTGTCCGTCATTACGTATTGAATTACAGTGATTCGTTATCTGCCAATCGTATTCGTGGCATTCCCGGCCTCTAAACAGTCCGCTTCTGCCGCCATTTTTATTTCGGTCTCTTTATAAAGCGTTGAGATCAGTAACGGGAGCCATTTTTTGTTTGGGCAGATCCTTCCGGCTATCCCGCTACTTCACCTAGCGTTTCGCCGCCATTTTAAGTTCTGGCACTGGCTTCCAGCGCATGTGAAGCCGGATACGCCATCTTGTGTTTGGGCGGTGGTTGCAATCTCACACGCGCGAGACGACCCTGGGAAAGGGGAAGTGAGCCAAAGCCTCTCTGAGGTTTTGCCTGCCGCCTTTTTGGTCTGAGTTTCCACATCCAGGTACTGGTCCGCCAGTGACCCTGGACAGTAACAAAACATAAAAAGCCCGAGCCCACCTCCCGCCACCAGCATAGGTAAGAGCATGATACTTCTGGCAACCTAGCTGTTCCCTCAGCTGGACTGAACTGTTGGCCCATCTTCCGTACCACTACGTGTGTTTGTTTTGAATTTTGAGACTTGCCACAATCTTTCTCTTAGGTTTTCCTTTTCGCTCCATTATTTTTTGAAAACACTCAGATCTGAAAAATTGTTAAACATCAGGGTGCAGGAAGACTGAGATTTAAAATTAAAATAATGTTGAGAGAATTCCTCCCGAGTAAAGGAGAGCCAAATGGACGGGACAGCAATTTGTATCAAATTATGGCTGCCTACATCCAGAGGTGTAAATATAACCCTCAGGATGATGATGATGATGATGATGATGATGATGATGATGATTATATTTTCCCCTCATTTTATTATTATTATTATTATTATTATTATTATTATTATTATTATTATTATTATATTTTCCCCTCTAAGATGTGGTTTCACTGTGTAACAGCTCTGGCTGTCCTGGAACTCGCTTTGGCCTCGATCGAACTCACAGACATCCGCTTGCTTCTGCCTCCCGAGTGTTGTAATTACAGGCACCGCCCGGCATTCTCAGAATATTTTAAGATGTGATATAGGTTGTGTTCGTTCGTTCATTCATTTACTCAGTGCCTTTGTTAAATATTTAACTAGCTCTATGTTATAAAATATCAAAGAAAAGTTTAAAACAAGAAAAAAAAAAAAAAAAACCATCACTCATCCCTTTGTAGGGGCTCTCATTCAATTCCCTTGTCATGTACCAAGCTGGAACCAGGAACACAGTGTTCTGTGGTTCTTAGCACTGCTGGACCAGCAACTTCACGGGTTCTCACTTCTCCTATTTCTTGGGTACTGTATATAACCATAATTGTAAGCCAGTTGGCTAATATTCGAGTTACTATGGCCTTGTTGCTCATTGTACTTATCTACCAGCTGGGTCAGCATCATCTGCGAGTTTACTTGAATGATGAGAAGTTGCATGTGGGGACAGTATGATGTTGACTTGGAAACTTTGGGCTGTGGCTTTTTGTAGCCCCAGGCTTGCTTCTGTGTCTTTCTTTAATGAGAAATCAAAATCAGGAGTTCTTAATTTTGGCTGCCCATGATAGTCAACTGGGAAGCTTCTAAACCAGACTTCAGACTAGTTCTAGACAGAAATCCAGACTCTGGGAGGAAATGAGATGCTACTAAGGTATTTGATGGCACTGAAAATGACGTATGCTTTTTACGCTGTTGTGAGTATGATTGTTTTTTCCCTTTTTCTGGTGGCTTTACTTAGGATTTTGAAGACAGTGAGGAATATTAGATTGGGAGTGTGGTGAACCCGCTTCCCAGTAATTGGTTACCTTACCAATCAGCTTCGCAGTTACTGGTTATTTTGCAGTCCGTTCCCCCCCCCCCCACCTCAATGTATTAAGTGAGAAAGAAGAATGGAAGTCACTTGTTTTAGTGAGTCGCACATGAATGTTTCCACTGTGGCTATGTATGGTTTCTGACTGTGAAGGAAAACATTACACTTCAGTATTGATTGTTTGCAGTTTTACATGCTGCATGGTATATTGAGGGTGGTGATCATGTGAGTGGTTAAGCAAATCAGCTCTGAAACTGTCTGGCCTGGCTTTACATCCTGCCTCCTCCACTTACCAGCTCCAAGCTCTGGAATCTAATAGACATTACCTACCCTTGTGCTTCAGTTTTGTAGCTTGTAAGGTAGGACTCAGGTGAGAGCTAGATAAGTTACTACCTGAAACATGCTTTTTAAAAGTACCTGACACGGGCTGGAGAGATGGCTCAGCAGTTAAGAGCTATGTGCTCTTCTAACGTTTAATTCCCAGTGCCTATGTCAAGCAGTTCACTGTTGCCTGTAACTCCAGTTTCTTGGGGGATCCAAGGTGTCTGACAGCTATGGGTGTCTACCCTCAGATGAACATACCCCCCCCCCACAGACATACACCTTTACACGTAATTAAAAATAATTTTTTTAAAAGGAGTAAATGGCACATAGTAACAGCTATGAAAATATTAACTAGCTGTTTTTATTATATTATAATTAAATCTTTGTATTGTTACAGATTTTGTTTATGCCTTCCGATGACTGAAATTCTTTGGATTTTCACTATGTGCATCTATTTGAAAAAGAGGGTGGTCTAAATACATTATCCCAGGCCAGGAAGATGACTTTTAAAATTAAAAGACCTCTTAAACATAGCCTTATTGAGATAAACTTGTGGTGCAAATAGCAACATCTATTTCAAGTATACAACATAGTATGCTTTATATGTATACACTGGTGAAACATCATCACAATCAGATAATGAGCATATCCATGACCCTCAAAATTTTGGTCTTGTTCCTAGTAATTCCTCTAGCTGCTCTTTTCTAGGCAGCTGCTGACCTATCAGTATAAAGCAATAGGCATTTTCTAGATGGTTATCTCAAAGGAACCTTGTATACATGTTTTTATTTGGGGTATGTGTAGTTATTTTGAGTATCATTTTTGCTGTTATATTGATAGCTCATTTCTTTTCTTTTTTTTTCCCCCTCCATTTTTTTCTTTTGTGGTGCTAGAGATTGAAGTTAGGGCTTTGTGCTTTATCCCAGAGCTATACCCACAGACTCTTCAGCCTGTTTGAATTACTGACTTATCAGTGTGTGGCTACATTATCATCTGTATAATTCACTAGTTGATAACCATTGGGATTTTTGTTTTCAGGGTTCCCAATTTCACTTAGCTTTGTCCACTAGCTTGTTTAAATTGAAAAAAACAAAAACAAAAACAAAAAAACTAGTTATTTAGTGCCTTCTGTATACAACGACACCAGAAGAGGATGGTGGTAAAACATTTTGTGTTGTTGTTTTACCTTTCTTTTATATAGTTTTTGTTTGTTTTTGAGACAAGATTTCTCTGTATAACATACCTACCTGTCCTGGAACTAGCTCTGTAGACCAGGCTGGTCTCCAACTCACAGAGACCCACCTGCCTCTGCCTCCTGAGTGCTGGGATTAAAGGTGTGTGCCACCACCACCTGTGGTGGTATTGTGTTCCCTAAAATATTGTGCACTCTAATAAACTTATCAGGGTTCAGAGAACAGAACAGTCACAATATTAAACATAGAGGTTAGGCAGTGGTAGCACATGCCTTTAATCCTAGCATTCCAGAGACAGAAATCCCTCTGGATCTCTGTGAGTTCAAGGCCACATTGGAAACAGTCAGGCATGGTGACTCACGCCTTTAATCCCAGAAAGTGAGCCTTTAATCCCAGGGAGTGATGGCAGAAAGATATATATGGTGTGAGGACCAGAAACTAGAAGTTTTTGTCTGGTTAAGCTTTCAGGCTTTCGAGCAGCAGTTCAGCTGAGATCCATTTGGATGAGGACTCAGAGGCTTCCAGTCTGAGGAAACAGGATCAGCTGAGGAACTGGCGAGGTGAGGTAGCTGTGGCTTGTTCTGCTTCTCTGATCTTCCAGCATTCACCCCAATAACTGGCCTTGGGTTTGATTTTAGTAAAAAGAACTTTTAAGATTCCTACTACAACCACCTGGCTCTTTTGTATAGTTTATGCTTTAACTTCTTCTGAATCAAATATGACATTTTAAAAATGCAAAATGTAGTGCTGGAAATGTAGCTCAGAGGTAGAGTTCTTGCCTAACATTCATGAGGTTCTGGGTCTAACATGAAACCGTTTAAAAACAAATTCAGAGCCGGGCGGTGGTGGCGCACGCCTTTAATCCCAGCACTCGGGAGGCAGAGCCAGGCGGATCTCTGTGAGTTCGAGGCCAGCCTGGGCTACCAAGTGAGCTCCAGGAAAGGCGCAAAGCTACACAGAGAAACCCTGTCTCGAAAAACCAAAAAAAAAAAAAAAAAAAAAAATTCAGTTCTCAGGATTGAACATTTCACTTGCTAGGCAAATGCTCTATCACTGAGCTATTACTCTAGCTACTCCCCTCTTGGACTTCAGTTTTGAATCAGAGTCTTGCTAAGTTGCCCAGACTAACTTTGAACTTAAAATTCTTCTCTATCAGTCTCTGGAGTAGCTAGGACCACAGGTTTTGCCCACCTGGATTATTTATTTTTAATAATTTTAAATTGTGTGTATACATGTATGTCTCTGTGTGGGTATGTGTTTGTGAGTGCAGGTACCTCTAGAGCTCTGAAGAGGATGTTGGGTCTTCTGGAGCCAGAGTTCCAGATGGTTGTGAGCTGCCCGACATTGGACCTTCTGACTTATGTCCAATGCAAGAGCAACAAAAACTCTTACTCCTGAGCCATCTCTCCAGCCCCAGGATTGTTGTTTTTTAATCATTTAATCTGCCTCAAATCTTTAAAGGTTACTATGAATATATTACTTTAGGGATTTTGCACAGTAATCTGTGTACATTAGAGACTCATGAGATAGCAAAGGAGAGAGTTATAAAGCCAAACCAGAGACATCCCAGAGCTCCCATTTGTCAGAAGATGGAGAATACCACTTGTATATTAAGGTTTAGTGTTTCTGTCAGAGAAAACTGGTTTATCGTTTGCTTTTAGTAGTACTGATGCATTATGTTAGAACAAGTCAAAAGTTTAAAATTGGATTTGATTTATGTTGCTGTGGGGGTAATACGAAATACTGCTGTAAAATATCTTAGATATAAAAGTTAATTTATGTGACTGTTTTGATTTATTCTCTAGAAAAGATTGCTGTTTTGTAATTTAAAATATTTTAAATTGGCATGTCATAAGAATAAAATCTTTCTTGGTTCAGTTTTCTGAGTTTTGACTTATGTGGAGTTATGTAACTATCACTGAAATTGGGATATGGACCAGGTCTATCATCAACCTCTGTCTCTATCCACAAGCTCCCACCCAATTTCTCCAGCTATCCCTTACGTCTCTCTGTCCTTCAACCCTTAGCAACCAATGAAACAATGATATATTCTCCAATGATACTGTTTTTGTACCAAAAAGATTAGATATTAAGAAGAATGTGTTAATGATAATCAGATACCTTTTGTTTGTTT